GGATTGTTAATCTTTTTGTTGTTGAGGTATTGGCGTTTTCTATCAATTTTAGAAATAAGTCCCTTGTCAGGTAAGTCATTGCCAAATATTTTTTTCCAATCTATAGGCTATCTTTTTACTCTTTTGGAGAAGTCTCTTGAAGCACATACAAATTTAATTTTTAGAAGGTCCTATTCATCTAGTTTATCTTCAGTTGTTTGTGCATTTTGGGTTATGCTTGACAGTCTATTTATGTCATAAATTAGGGCCCCTAAATTTGCCCCTATATTTTCCTTGAGGAACTCTATAGTTTCAGGTTTCACATTTAAGTCTTTGATCCATCTGGGTTAGCTTTTGTGTATGGTCTGAGGTACGGATCTTGTTTCACTTTTCTGCAAATGGATCTCCAGTTTTGCCAACATCATAGGAGTGGCCAAGCACTCTTGAGGAAGGTTTAATGTCGGTATCACCTGGAGAGACCTCTGTGGTGACCCTTCAAGCCTATGATCCTGTAATTCTCAGAATCAAAACAAAATTGTGGAATGGAAATAATTCTGCCAGGGGAACTACACCAAGTGAATGCCAATCATTCTCCAAGCTCACTCTGGACACATGAAAGGAGGCACAGCAGATGGCCACCCACTGTGACCTTCCACACCCTCTGTGACCTTTCACCAGCCCCTGCACGGCAGCTACTACTGCTCCCTGACTGGTGCTGCTAAGGAGTCCTATGACTGTCAATGTCGGGAGAAACGTGAACATGTGAAGATAGTGTGACATGGGACACGGCTTAGCATCCTTCCATAAAATAAGCTAGTATTCAAGTCGTTGTTGTGGGTGCTATCAAGTTGGCTCCGACTCACAGTGACCCTTCGTACAACAGAATGAAACACCGCCTGGTCCTGCGCCATCTTCACAATCCTTGCTGTACTTGAGCCCAATGTTGCAGCCACTGTGTCAGTCCATCTCACTGAGGGCCTTCCCGTTTTGTTGACCCTCCACCTTACCAAGCATGACATCCTTCTCTGGGGAATGGCCCCTTCTGACAACATGACCCAAGTAGGTGAGATGAAGTCTGGCCATTCTCGCTTCCAAGGAGCATTTTCCAGCTGCACTTCCTCCAGGACAGACCTGTACATTCCGATCAGCCCCTGACAATCTGCTCCACTCCAGAATTTCTCCTTTCACTTTTCTTTCTGCTCCACTCTACTTCACTGCTAGTTTGCAGTAATTTGTGATCCATCCTTGAATGAATTAAGTCAGGAACCTCAACTATGATACTGCTTTGTAGATTGGCTGGCCTGGGATCACAGTTACAGTTCCAAAAAGACCTGGGAAACCAAGTTCAGAGTGAAATTCTGGCCAAAAAGTGTTTGAGTCAAGTCCAAAGGAGATCACCGCATGGTCTTGGGGAGTTCACTGGTAGAGTCAGAGAGCCTAGGCTTTGGAACCACAGAAGCCCTAGTTCTGATTCTAGTCCCACGGTGTGCCAGCCAAGTCACCTTGTTCAGGTTTCTTAATTTCTCTGAGCCTCAATTTGCATATGATAAAAGGTGAATAATACTACTTAGAACTATGGGGTTTCTGTGACGATAATGACCATATGCAAAGCCCTTCAGTGAGCATGCTTGGGATGCAGCTGATACTGAACTAATACAACAATGAATGTGGCTGTGGTTACTGCCCTACCCCCCAACACATCCATACAGATGTGTGCATGTGTGCATGCACACACACACACACTCTCATGGCACTTCATGGACATAGTTTACGACCTGTGAGTTCCAAGAGGGTTCTCTCTGCTCATTCACTGCTCTACTGCCAATTTCTGAAACATGGTAAACATTCACTAAATACTTGATGAATTCCTTAGCTAGTTGACTCAACCCTCCCAACTACCACTAAGGCAAATATCATTATCTCCTCTTTACAGTGGAGAAGGATGAGGTCTACACAACGTGAATGGCTTATTCAGACCCAGGTCTGTTGACTCCAAAGTCTTTGCTCTTAGCCTCAAAACACCTCCTTTATTTAAACATGAATAATTTCATTGTGGACTTACCCTTTTCAAACAGTGGCTTCACTTATCATCCTTTAGAAACATGGCCATCAGCCTTCTCCAGGAGCTCTGGTAGCATAGTGCCTAAGGCACTTGACTGCTAACCAGAAGGTTGGTGGTTCAAACCCACCAGCCACTCTTGGAAGGGAGGTTGGGCAATCTACTTCCATAGTGATACTGCCTTGGAAACCCAACGAGGGGTTGCCATGAGTCGGGTCTGATTCGATGGCACATAACAACAACAACAACATCAGCTTTCTCCATCCTATGCCACTAAAGATGCTGTTCAAATGCTGGGCTTTCCAGAGCAGGCAAGAGAACAACCACTTTTCAGACCTGACATGTGACTTAGAGAGAAGAGCAGGCTTGACCCTGGACAGAAATAAATAACTCCTTTTCTGAAAGTTAATTCTTTTGGAAGATAAACTTTTATGAATGCTCGGATTCATATTTAGTTAGGACTATGTGAAATTGATGAAATTAGCATACCAAATAGCTGTAGCATTAAAAATTCAAATGACTCTCTTAAAACCGTCCGCTGGACTCCTTGGGAGAAGCTGATACAATCACAGGTTCTGGTCTCAGCATGATCAAGTGCTAGCAACGTGCTAATGCTTTTATCACCACCTCCCAGGTCTGGCGGGCAGAGAGAAGCATGGGTATAGAACTGGTACTGCCTGCTACGCACATCTGCCCAGAGCTTTCAAAGGCCTGATCTCACCCAGTCCCTCCTGAAATGCTGCAACTCAGAACCACTTCACTTCGAGTTACACAGAAGAAGGTCTCTATCTTCTATGGATGGCTGGGACCTCTGGGAGTTTCTTCAAGACCATTCAAGATGGAGATGAACGTTAGCTCAGGGTGTATTACAAAAATGTAAGTTTAACAGACTCAGTTCTGCAAACAACACACTTGAAAGGAAAAAGTAAGGCCAGAGTCAGTCATGTTTCAAACTGCATCCAAGCCCATATTTTACACCTAGGTGAACAGATGCTGACAGGGTAAGAAGTAAAACCAGGTGTGCATCATTCTGTTTCTGCAGAGCCCAGAGAGAGCCGTCTTCCATTCCTGTTGTCATACTGCCACACCTGGGCATCAAGGAAGTCGTCAGGCCAGGTTCGACACAGACCAGCCAAGCACTGCCACCTCAGAGCAGTTCAGTGTCCCCGAGGTGCAAGGTCCTGGCTGAGTGCTGTGGTCTCATTGTGCTAACACTGCACAGTAATTTAGAGGACGGATACCAGGCTCAAATGTAACCACAGGACCCAAGTTAAAAGAGTGAACTGCCAGTACACGATTTATTTCCTTAATAATAATAATAATAAAGCTTTCTAACTTGTTTGCTGAAGGGGAAAAAAAAGAAGGCCTTTTTGAGAGGAAAGGAGGAGTATGTGTGGAGTGACCCATGACCGTAAGCACCCTCCTGGGAGAGCCTTGTGCAATCAGCTCTGCCCCTTACTTGGCCCAGGGGTTCTTGCATGAATCCCCATGACAAGCAGGAGGGGTTTCATATTATCCCCACTTTACAAATGAAGAGACCAAGGATCAAAGAGGTTAACTGACTGAGTAGGGTTACACAGCCACCAAGAATACATCTTTTTCCATGTCCTCTACTCATTGCAATGACCACCTTGCCCCCACCTTGTGGGTCCGCCCCTGCTCTGCTTAGACACTGTAGTAGAAAGCCCCCCATGTTATTAACTCCCCCCACACCTCATCCATCTTCATCACTTCTGGAAATACCCTTGCTGACCAGGGAAGAGAAACGAAGCAAACAGCAAGGGCAGTTCAGACAACACCAAGGAACTGCATTAGAGAAACGACACTGAACAGGACCAAGGCACACTTACACGCTCGCATGTGGCTTCTTTTTGGAAAAATCACAGGCAAGACCGAGATCTGATATCCTGACATGGCCGTTTTCATCCAGGAGAATATTCGCGGGCTGTGCAGAAAGAGATGAAAGTCCCCAAGATGTCACAAAGGCCCTGAGAATGTCCACAGCGACAGACACTTGATATTTAGTCATGATTTTGGCATCATCTGTTCCTCCACATTAATTATAAACTCAAGAGCATCCATCACATTAAAGCAGAATGTGTACTGAGAAGAGTGTCTTTGATGTTACTTCAGCAGCAAAGAAGTAATGACAAAAGGATTGACTCATTAGAAAACCAAACAGAGGGGAGGTGAGCTGGAGGGTTATGATCACAGTACATCAGACTTAAAGCCTTTTCTCCTCATCCTTGTATCAAGCCATGCAATGCAGAGAGCAGTGGGCTCTCGACACGGGGAGTGAGTCCACCGGTGCTGGGCTTATGTGAACCTCAAGGACCTCTGGGTGCACAGAACAGAAAGGGACCTTGAAAGAGTGTACAGATCCCTGCCCTGAGAAGTCAAAGTCTCCCACAGTGCCACACTAATCCTGATCAATGTCAGTTCTGTTTATTAGCACGTAGTCAACATAAGGCCCTCTCAAATGCCAAATGTGATTTTGCCCCCGACTCTGATGAAGTGGACCCATTAAGATTAGATTTGGTCATCATAGCCATGGAAAATAAAGCTCCTCTCCCCAACATACATTGAATTACAGTTGTCTTAATAATATTTCTTTTTTCTGCTAGGGATCAACTACTGTTTTGCTTGAAATAAAAATAATGGCATGCTATTCTAAAATTGCAGCATGAATAATCATGAGTGACTGAATTAAGTTTGAATAGAAATTAGATAATACCAGTACCTACTAAATAGCTTAGAAAATAAAAACATAGCATAAAGATGATTAGAGACCGGTTACAGATTTAAATGAAAATGTATTACATTAGTGCTTCATGGGCCTTCATCACGTAGTTTATTCTTCTGTAAAACTCACACAGGGAAATAAAATGTCATGAGCGAACCAATGTCTCATTATTTCTAGTTCCATAAAAGTACATTTTTTCTTTCCCCCTTCTTGGTGCCCAAAGGAAGACTTAGGGAATAATTCTTCCTAACAAAAAAAAAAAAAGATTTTTCAGACTCTTAGCAAGTAACCTTGAAAAGTGGACTGAAACATCTTCGCTCTTTAGACACAGGAATGCAGTCTGTACATTCCAGTTGGTCTCTGTGGGACCATTCAAGAAAGAATCTGAAACATGTATTCTGGAATCTTCTCACTCAACTGGGAAACTGTCACTCTTTTTTTTATTATTATGCCTAAGGCATTTGTCAGGAGCTCTGGTAGCAAAGTGCCTAAGGCACTTGACTGCTAGCCAAAAGGCTGGTGGGTCAAACATACCAGCCACTCCTCGGAAGGAAGGTTGGGGATTCTACTTCTGTAGTGATACCTCCTCGGAAACCCAAGGAGGGGTCGCTGTGAGTCGGATCCGATTCGACAGCAGTGGGTTTGTTTTTTGGGGGTTTTATACAGTTATGTATTTGCATGATCATCTCTGTAATTTGTCATTTTCTCTTTTATCTCATATCTATCTTTGAGTCACTGGCACTCACAGCAAGTTGAGTGGCACCCTCAGACATACTGAGCCCACTCCTACCTCCCTCCTTAATGCAGAACCCAGGACCAAGCACCACAGTTTGGAATGAAAATCTCAGAATAGCCCTATTGCATTATTGTTGAGTTCAGTGAGTTTTTAAAGAGAACAGCAATGGAAACCTAAGGATGGCAATCGGGGTTATGTCGTTAGAAGTTCTGCAAATCTATTAATGCTTTTCAAGGCCATCTCAAAACGAGAGGAGGTGACACGTGAGTAGCCTTTGGGGAGCACATTGCAGGCTAATCAGCAACTCCTCCCCTAACTGCCTTGCCTCAGGGAAGCATTCTGTGCCTTGGACCACAGCTAACGTTCTTGCTGGTAGTTAGCGTGGCATCAGCTCCAACTCCTGGTGACCTTATGTCTCGTGTGATGGGAGGAAAGGCTGCCTGCTCCTGTGTCAAACAGACACTCTGTTCCTGTTCATCTCTATACACCCTCAGTTCTAACACCAAGCTGTGGCCAAATCACTGGCCTGGTGGGCATTCAGTGAATTATAATCAATTATAAAATGGGCAGCACCAAGAACCTCCTACCTGACTTCTCATTAACTTAACAATTAAGAGTTTGAATTTAGTGCATGTGCTTCACCGGGCTCTGGACGAGGCACTGCGGTTATAATGACTAGGATGGACAGGGGATCTGCTCCCTGCGGGGCTTAGAGTCTAAGAGATGAGATCATCATCACATAGGTATAATGACTTCATCGGGGCTGAGACAAGGGCTAGGAGGAAGTGATGGGACCTTGGAAAAGAGAAGCGTGATGATCCCAACAGCTACTGCACAGGGTGAGTCAAGAGAAGGAATCTGGGAGCTCTCCTTACCTTCAAATCTCTGTAAACAACGGACCGGTCGTGCATGTGTTCCAGCCCGAGGATGATTTCCGTAGCATAAAACCGCATCTCCTTCTCAGAGAACACCCCGTGCTGGGAAAGGTGATAGTGCAAATCGCCTCCTGAAACCAGAGATCCAGACGGTAACTCAAAGCAAAGTGCTGTCATTTAAAAGACACAAAGATCGCTGCTCTCATAAATAGTTACAACACACTACAAAACAGGCAACAGTGCGTCTGCTAGGTCCACATACCCATCTTTGGTTACTGCGGTGTGAAAAGAACACTCAGAAAATGATATGGAACATGCAGACACTGAGAAAATGTGGATGGAACTAAGGCAGAGATAATACAACAAATTGTTCTCAGGTCGGTAACATGGCTGCCTGGTATTCCGTCACATGTACAGTTAGTTCATCTGCTTTGATGACTTAAGTCCTGTCCAATGACTGGGTCAAGTAATCCAAAAGGTGACTTAGCAACTAACGTTTTGGATGGACCAAATACAAAAACCAAACATATGGGTAGATACTGGATGAAGCAAATACAGGAAAAATGTAACTGGTAAAATCCAGGGTGTGGGTACTTAGATGTTCCCAATAAAATTCTTTCAACTTTGCTATATGTTTGAAATTTTTCATAATAAAAGGTTGGAGAAAGAAACTAATTACATTGCCCAAAGTTATAGAACTAAAGAATGCCATCAACCAGCTAGGGGAATTTTTTTTTTTTTTTTTTTATTGTGATTTGGGTGAAAATTTACAGAGCAAATTCACTTTCCATACAGCAGTTCACATACACTTTGTCTCATGACATTGACTACAATTTCCCACAATGCAACAGCTCCCCTCTCACTTCTTCCCCATAGACACCTCTTCCCTGTGTCCTTCCCTCCATCCCCTCCTGCCCCCTGAGCTGTCTGTCTCCCTGTGCATACACAGCCCTTCTTTCTCCCATGATTGTTCTCTCCAAGGAGTGTATCTACCTACCTCAGGTAAATGTTCAACTCATATGCCTGTGTTTTGTTTGGCTGGAAGTCCCAGGAGTGGGTTCAGTTCCAGACCTGAAGGGCAGCTAGGGGTCATAGTCTCAGTTGTTCCACCAGGCTCTATCAGACGAGCAAACCTGGTCTAGGGTAACGTTTTTATAAACTACAAGAGAAAAGCCTCTGTTGATCTGCAAAAGTTAATGTGTATTCAACTTTACCGCTGTTGCTTTAAGGAGCTCTGGTGGTGCTGTGATTAAGGTATCTGGCTGCTAATCAAAAGGTTAGCGGTTTGAACCCACCAGCTGCTCTGTGGGAGAAAGATGAGGCAGTCTGCCTCCATAAAGTTCTATGGCCTTGGAGACCCTCTGGGCCAGTTCTATCCTGCTGTAAATGGTCACTGTGAGCCAGAATCAACTCGATGATGATGAGAGTGGGGGCGGTTTTTGGTTTGGCCCTTGCCTTTACAAATATCTTCCCTTTCATGCACACCTAACCTTAATGATGAAGATGTTTAGGCAAATTGTTAACCTGATCATCAAAAAGGACAACTCCCAGTTATCACTGAAGAGGGGAATTTGATTTACAAGTGGCTTGCCCTCTCTCCTTTCTTGAGGAGTAACTCACAGAAAATAAAGTGCACAACTCTTAAAAGTACAGTGTGGTATAATTTTACATGCGCACACATACATGCAATTTATGTTGTGGTCATTAGTTGCCATCACGTCAATCCTGACTCAGGGAGCCCAACACGTGCACAGGAGAACTGCGTCCTAGGGTTTTCAAGGCAGAGACCTTTGGGAAGCAGACTGCCAGGTCCCTACAGGCTTCTGGGGTGGTTGGAACCGTCAGCCTACTGGCTATGACAGCTAGGGACTCCTGCGTTTTTACATACATGTGTGTGTATGTGTGCATGGGAGTGTCTATCTACACTCGTCTGTCAATGTGTTGTACTGTGGTGGCTCACATGTGGCTATGATGCTGGAAGCTACATACACTGGTATTTCAAACACCAGCAGGGACACCCGTGGTGGACAGGTTTCAGTGGAGCTTCCAGACTAAGACAGACCAGGAAGGAGGACCTGGTGGTCCACTTCTGAAAAACTGGCCACTGAAAACCTTATGAACAGCAAGGAAACACTGTCTGTTGTCTCATATCATGCTGGAAGATGAGCGCCTCAGGTTGGGGGGGAGGGGAGCCAAACCCACTGCCATCGCGTCAATTCTGACTGATGGTGAACCTAGAAGACAGTGCAGAACTGCCCCATGGAGTTTCCTAGGCTATAAATCTACAATAGCTGACTGACTCAATGTTCTCCCATGGAGCAGCTGGTGGGTTAAAACTGCCAGTCTTTTAGTTAGCAGCTGAATGCCTTAACCACTGTGCCATGAGAGCTCCTATCATGTCGGAAAGCACTCAAAACACAACTAGGGAAGAGCTGCCTCCTCAAAGTAGAATCGACCTTAATGACGTGGATGGAGTAAAGCTTCTGGGACCTTTATTTGCTCCTATGGCAAGACTCGAAATGAGAAGAAATAGCTGCAACGTCCATTAATAATCGCAGAATGCACGAAGTATGAATCTAGAAAAACTGGAAGTTCTCATAAATGAAATGGAACACATAAAGATCTATATGCTAGGCACCAGTGAGCTGAAATGACTGGTGTTGGTCATTTTGAATTAGATAATTATATGGTCTACTGACGCTGGGAATTACAAATTGAAGAAGAATGGCATCACATTCATCGTGCCAAACAACATTGCAAGATCTGTCCTGAAGTACGATGCTGTCGGTGATAGGGCAATATCCATACACCTACAAGGAAGACCAGTTAATACAACTATTACTCAAATTTACGCATCAACCACTAAAGCAAAGATGAAAAAAAATGAAGATGTTTACCAAATTCCACAGCCTGAAATTGATAGAGCCTGCAATCAAGATGGGTTGATAATTACTAGTGATTGGAACGCAAAGGCTAGAAACAAAGAAGAATCATTGGTAGCTGGAAAATATGGCCTTGGTGATAGAAATGACAGATTGCATGATAGAATTTTACACAACCAACAAATACCTTCTTTAAATAACATAAACTGTGACTATACACTTAGACCTCACCAGACAGAATATGTGGGAATCAAATGGCCTACAGCCGTGGAAAGAAACAATGGAGAAGCTCAGTACCATCAGTCCCACAAGGCCTGGGGCTGACCGTGGAACAAAGCATCAACTGCTCACACACAAGTTTAAACTGAAGCTGAAGAAAATTAAAAGGCCACAAAAGCCAAAAGATGACCTTGAATATATTCTACCTGAATTGAAGACCATCTCAAGAATAGATCTGACACACTGAACATCAATGACCAAAGACCAGAGGAGTTGTGTGATAACATCAAGGATATTATATATAAAGAAAGCAAAAGGTAATTAAAAAGTCAGGAAAGAAAGAAAACACCAAAATGGACTGCAGAAGAGACTCTGAAACGTGCTCTTGTATGGATAGCAGCTAAAGCAAATGGAAGAAATTATGAAGTAAAACAGCTGAACAGAAGATCTCAAAGGGCAGCTGGAGAAGAGCGTGAATTATTATAATGAAATGTGTAACTATATGGAGTTAGAGAACCAAAAACATGCTAGACATTTCTCAAGCTAAAAGAACTGAAGAAAAAATTCAACTCTTGAGTTGCAATATTGAAGGATTCTATGGGCAAAATACTGAATGAAGCAGGAAGCATCAAAATAAGATGGAAGGAACACACAGAGTCACTGCACCAAAAAGAACTGGTCAACATTTAACCATTTCAGAAGGTAACAGAGGATCAAGAACCTATGTTACTGAAGGAAGAAGTCAAAGCTGCACTGAAGGAAGCTGCGAAAAACAAGGCTCCAGGAATTGACAGAATACCTATTGAGACGTTTCAACAAATGGACACAATGCTGGAGGTGTTCACTCATTTATGCCAAGAAATTTGGAAGACAGCTACCTGGCCAACTGACTGGAAGAGATCCATATTTGTGCCCATTCCAAACAAAAGTGATCCAAAAGAATGTGTAAATTATCAAACAATATCATCCATTTCACACACAAGTAAAGTTTTGTCGGAGATAATTCAAAAGTGGTTACAGCAGTACATAGACAAGGAACTGCTGGAAATTCAAGCCAGATTCAGAAGAGGATGTGAAATGAGGGGTATCACTGCTGATGTCAGATGGCTCTTGGCTGAAAGCAAAGAATACCAGAAAGAATTTTACCTGCGTTTCATTAACTATGCAAAGGCATTCAACTATCATGCCAGATCATAACAGATTATGGATAACAATGCAAAGAATGGGAATTCCAAAACACTTAATTGTGCTCACGAGGAACCTGTGCACAAAGAGGCAGCTGTTCAAACACAACAAGGGGATACTTGGTTTAAAATCAGGAAAGGTGTGCATCAGGGTTGTATCCTCTCACCATACTTATTTAATTTGTGTGGGCCGAGCACATAATCTGAGAAGCTGGACTATATGAAGAATGCAGCATCAGGATTGGAGGTACAGGACACTGGGCTAACATCTGTATGGTTCCACAGTCATCCTTCAAAGCTAGTTTTTCAAAACATTTCTATCTTTGGAAGACTCATTAACAACCTATGATATGCAGCTGACACAACCTTGCTTGCTCAAAGTGAAGATGACTTGAACTTACTGATGAAGATCAAAGAGTATAGCCATCAGTATGAATTACATCTCAACATAAAGAAATCCTCACAACTGGATAAATGGAGAAAAGACTGAAGTTGTCAAGGACTGGATCCACAATTAATGCCAACGGAAGCAGTAGTCAAGAAATCAAATGATGCTTTGCATTGGGCAAATCTGCTGCAAAAGACCTCTTTAACGTGTTAAAGAACATAAATGTTACTTTGAAGACTAAGGTGTGCCTGATCCAAGCCCCTGTCTTTTCAATAGCCTCATATTCATGTGAAAGCTGGAGAATAAATAAGGAAGAAAGAAGAACTGATGCACTTGAGTATGGTGTTGGCAAAGAATACTGACTATACCATGGACTGCCAGAAGAATGAACAAATCTGTCCTGGAAGAAGTACAGGAAGAATGCTCCTTACAAGCAAGAATGGCCAGACTTCAAATCTCATACTTAAGTCATGTTTTCAAGAGGGACCAGTCCCTGGAGAAGGATATTATGTTTGGTAAAATAGAGGGTCAGCGAAAAAGGGGAAGACCCTCAACGAGATGGACCGACACCGTGGCTGCATCAATGGGCTCAAACACAGCAAGGACTGTGAGGCTGGAACAGGACCAGGCAGCATTTTGTTCTCTTGTGTGAAGGGTCGCTGTGGGTCAAAACACACTCAGTATCACCTAGTAACAATGTGTGTACATATGTATATGTATGTGTAAAAAATATATAAAACATATGTTGTTGTTGTTGTTAGGTGCCGTCGAGTCGGACCCAACTCATAGCGACCCCTCCTTGGGTTTCTGAAGCAGTACCACTACAGAAGTAGATTGCCCCGTCTTCCTTCTGAGGAGTGGCTGGTGGGTTTGAACCACCAGCCTTCTGGTTAGCAGTCAAGTGCCTTAGGCACTATGCTACCAGAGCTCCCATAAAATATATGTATGTATATATAAAAAATATAAGTTTATATCTATAGAGAGATAGACAGGTGTATATCCGTTGCTGTTGAACTGATTCCAACTCATGATGACCCTACAAGACAGAGTAGTCCTGCCTTATAGGGTTTGCAAGGCTGTAAACTTTATAGAAGGAGACTGCCACATCTTTCTTTTGTGGAGTGACTAGTGGGTTTGAACCACTGACCTTTAGGTTAGCAGCCAAGCACTTAACCACTGAACCACACAAGACTCCTTCTATATGTAAAGATACATCTTTCTGTATAACCCCCCACCAGATGTAAAAGATTTCCAGCATTTCAGAGGGTTCTCTCATGTCTTTCCCAGTCAATACCTCATCCACAGCCCCCTCATACTGTGGCAAAGTTAACTATTCTGACTTCTCTCACCATCGATGAGTGTAATCTATTCTGGTGTTCATAAACAGGATCACAAAGTATATAAGCATCTGGGCTGGGTTCCTTTTGCTCATCATTACGTCTGTGAAATCCATTCAAGTTGTTGGCACAGATCAGGTTTTAAACTAAACACTCAAAATATAACAAAGCTTCAACAGAAAAACTAGAGAATTAGATGGTGCCTGGCTATCACTGTCAACCACTCAGAGGGGGATCTATGGAGGAGATCTTGGATAGAGTGGGAGAACAATGTGGAACAAAACTCAAAATCATTTGGGGAAAAAAAAAAAAGAAAAAGGGACTAGGTTTGCTCGTCTGATAGAGCCTGATGGAACCACTGAGACTTTGGCCCCTAGCTGCTCTTCAGGTCTGGAACCGAACCCACTCCTGTGGCTTCCAGCCAAACAAAAGACAGGCATACGAGTTGAACATTTACCTGAAGTAGGTACACTCCTTGGAGAGAACAATCATGGGAGAATAGAAGGACTGTATGCACAGGGAGACAGCTCAGGGGGCAGGTGTGCATGAAGGGATGGACACAGGGAAGAGGTAATTATGGGGAGGAGGTAGGAGGGGAACTGTTGCACTGTGGTAAATTGTAGTCAATGCCATGAGACAAAGTGTATGTAAAATGCTATATGGAAAGTGAATTTTCCCTGTAAACTTTCACCCACATCACAATAACACACACACACATATGTGTGTGTGTGTGTGTATAGTTGTTGTTACAAAGCTTCAAATGAATAGGGTATTTGTATGCCTTTTTAGCTCAGCTCTTGTTGATAAAGATAATGTGATTTTCTAGTATTAAAACCAAAACCAAACTCACTGCCATTGAGTTGTTTTCTGACTCATAGCAACCCCTTGGGTTTCCGAGGTGGCATCCCTACAGAAGTAGATTGCCCGATCTTCCTTCCAAGGAGTGGCTAGTGCGTTTGAACTGCCAGCCTTCTGATTAGCAGTCAAATGCCTTAGGCACTATGCAACCAGAGCTCCCTATCTGATATTTCTAAATGAAAATTTCCCAGCATGCTTAGGGTCATGGTTCATGGACCAATGGACAGTACTGCAGGTTTACCAGGTACAGGACATGGGCTAACATCTGTATGGTTCCACAGTCATCCTTCAAAGCCAGTTTTTCAATACATTTCTATCTTTAGCCTCTATTCTTTATGAGGTATTTCATTCCTAAATGTTCAAGGTGAGGAAACAAGTCAATTGAAGATCTAGGTCAGCTACATTTTAGAAAAACGAGTTTCACTGTAAATAAGTATTTTATGAAAATTTTTGGCAGAAAATGCAACTTCCCAGTGGGGAGACCAGGGAGGGCTACGGAGAAATCACACTCATCATTTAAAAATACATTTTAACTGAAAACCGGAAAGTAAATGGTTTCCCCGAACCTTAGGAGGAACCCAATTATTGGAAGGACTCAGACTGCCCAAGTTTGTCTTACCATTCATCAGATCCAAGATGAAGCAGAGTTTATCTGGAGTGTGGAAGGCATAAGTCATACAGACAATGAAAGGACAATCCTAGAGATAAAAAAATATGAAAGTTTCTTAGAAAGCCAAAAGCTGTCCCAGAAAACACATCTACCATCCAACACCAAGCTATGGATTTTTATCCACCCACCACCCTGGCACCTGGTGGTCATTTTTATAGTCACAGGAAAATGGATCTTGTTTCATGACAAAATTCAAAGAGGCATAATGTTAACAACTAGAGATGAACTCTGAGATCCTGTCTCATGCAGATCCATCAGGACCCTACTCGAATTCCATCCCCTTCAAAAGACCCAAGATTCTATAGGAAAATAACATGGCTGCCTTGCTTTTCTTTTCATTGGTGTACATTTTGGTTCTGGCTAGTCAAATATCCAATTCAATCTCTGATCTGAAGTCGGAAGAATCATCCCACGGGGGAGGAAATGTTACCTGTGTCATTCTCTTGAAACACTGAGAACTAAAAATGGAATTAAATTCATTTTTGAAAATGGAAAAATATACCATGGTAAAGGATTGAGTCATTAAATTGTAGGGATGTCTACCTCCCCTCCCCAAAATTAACCTATAGATTCCATGCAATCTTAATTAAAATGAAAACTGACGAGCAGATGCTAAAATTTATGTAGAAATATAAACAGCCAAAAAGAGCTAAGATGCTCTTGAAGAAAAACAAAGCTGGAAAATGTATAGCACCAGATACCAAGACTTACTGTAAATCAAAAGCAATTCAGACAGTGTGGTACCAGCGCAAGGACAGACAAATGGACCGATGGGACAGAATAACGAACCCTAAAACTGACCCATATATAAAAGTTCATTTAGTGTGTGATAAAGGTGACACAGCAGGGAACAGGGAAAAGACAGTCTTTTCGATCACTGCTGCTGGAGCAGTTGGTATCTGTGGAATAACATCTGACCCTTGACCTCTACCTCAAGTTCTTCAAGGTAGATGCGGATCTAAATGTGAAAGGGGGAACAATAAAGCTTTGAGAAGAAAGTATCTTTATGATCTCGGGGTAGGTAAAGGTTTCTTAAATAGCCCCTCACACACACACACACACACACACAAATGACAAAGAAAAACACTGATAAATTGGACTAAATGACACTTAAGGACTAGTGTTCACCCGAAGGCACCATTAAGAGAGTAAAAAGGCAAGGCTTGGAATGGAAGAAGATATGAATAACACATAAGCACAAAAATAACTTGGATCTAGAATAAAGAACTCTTGTAAATCAATAAAGGAAAAGGCAAACAAGCTTTTTACAACAGAAAAATGGCAAAGATAAAACAAAATGAAAAAATCTTACATAGGTACTTCATAAACAGATAAACAAATTGCATAAACCTGTGAACTCAATCTCAATTATCAGCAGGGACAGGCAAATTAAATCACACGTGCTGTCACTAAACTCATGAGAGTGACTAAAACTAAAAAGACTGACAGTACCAAGCATTGGGAAGGCTTGGAGTAACTGAAACTTTCATTATAAGGCTTGTAGGAGTGAAAAATGGTACCATCACTTTAGGAAACTGTTAGTCGTAGCTCCCAAAGCTGAACATCACCCACAAACCCTATGAACCCAGAAATTCTGCTCCAAAGTGCTTACTCAACAGCAACCTGCATTCACATGTACAACAATGTTCAGAACATCACACGCAAACCCTATGAAGCCAGCAATTCTGCTCCAAAGTGATTACCCAACAGCAACCTGTGCTTACATGCATAAGAATGTTCAGCACTATTCAAAAATAGCAAAAAATGCTGTTATAATTTTACAACTATAAAAAAAAAATAGCCAAAATAGGAAATAACCCAATGTCCGTCAACAGTAGAAAGGACACATAAACTATAGTATGTGTTTACAATGGAATGCCATAGAGTAGCAGTCAGCAACTGTGGTAGTTGTGTTTGTGTGTCAGCTTGGCTGGGCCTGGTTGAGTGGCTGGGCCGCTGGTGGTAGTTATTCCCATGATGAGACTGGCAGTCATCTCCATGGTGGGATCTACCATAAGCAGCTGAGTAGCTGCCTTTGGGATGTGGTCTGCTTCCTGTGTTTAAGGAGAAGCCTTGGGAATGCTCTCTGGCCTATGGCACGCTTGGACGCTGCATGTAGCCATGGCATTGCTCAGCAGCCTGCTATGCTCTGCCGACCTTGGGCCTTACAATGGACTTAACTTAATGGCCTTCCGTGTGGTTTGGTAACATCGGGACTGTGCCTTTTTACTTGTCAACCTTGGGCCTTCTCAGCCTCAGCAGCCAGCAGCTGTCTGAGTGAAGAAACGCCTGTAGCTTCAGTGGGCCAGGAGCAGAAGGCAGAGCTGGACCCCAGGGTTGAGGGGCTTTCCACCAGCCCCTAGAGCCTGGCACTTTGAACTTGGACTTAAAGCCTCCAACTTGTAAGAATAAAGGCCTGTTTGTTAAGGCCATCCCATTTCTGGTATAATCCCGTCAAAGTGGCACCAGGGAACCAGAACAGCAACTTTTTCCTAAAAAGGGCTAAATAGTAAATATTTTGCCTTTGCAAGCTACATATAGTTTCTGTGGCCTATACTGCTTTGCTTATTTTCTTTTTCAATCCTCTAAAAATGAAAAATATTCTTAGTCCATGGGCTGTACAAAAAAAGAGTTGCAGGCCAGATTTGGTCCACCAGCCACAGCTTGCTGACCCCTACTACACAACAATGAAAATGAACTATTGCTACGTATAACAACATGGGAGATGTGCTTGGTGAATCTCACAAGCAACGTTGAGTGAGACTGAGGGCCAGTCTCATAAGAGCACATTTATATCAAGTTCAGATATGGTATCAGAAGTCTGAATAGTAGTCACCTCAGACACAGGGCTAGTCACCACGTTATGCTGTTACGAAAGCTTCTACTGCGATGTCAAATAAAAGTATGTGGAAGGGACAAGACCAGGCTGGTCTGCAGAATTCATTAGCATACGTAACCCCTCATCCCTCAAGGTACAGAGCACAAGAGTGACCGTCATGAGTCTCATACTATGAAAGTATAGAATGCTGGTAACATTCTATACTTTGATCCAGGTTCAGATACATGTATGCATCTCCTTGTGAAAACTGATCAGTGTGATGCTAGACCTACTCAATGTTGTTGTTGTTATTATGTGTTGTCAAGTCTTCTCCGACTCATAGTGACCCCTATTTGGGTTTCTGAGGCGGTATCTCTATGGAAATAGATTGCCCAACCTTCCTTTCAAGGAGTGGCTGGTGCGTTTGAACCACGAACCTTCTGCTTAGCAGTCAAGTGCCTTAAGCTCTATCCCACTAGAGTTCCCAGACCTATTCACTGGATTCATTTAAATTCTTTATGTAAAGTCTACATTTGCTACTCAACTGATCTAAATAAGAATGGTGTATAATAATATCTGCTTTCTCCATGGAAACCGAAAATTATTAAATTTCAAAGAAAATATTCAAATGTCAGTGGACTAATCTGAAAGCAGAATGTGTATTGTACAAATCTCTCTATACGGGCATTTAGATCAATTTGAACTAACATATTCTTATATACCAGGAATTCACAAACTTGGACTCAATTCCCACAAAACTCCTGGAGGAAGTTGCTCCAGCATTAATTACCATGTTCATTTAGTGGTCACCTAGTGATCCTGAGAAGGAGCCCTGGTGGTGCAATGGTTAAGCTGCTAACCAAAAGATCGCTGGTTCAAATCAACCTGCTGGCTCTACAGGAGTCAAGACCTGACAATCTGCCCCTGTAAAGACTACAGCCTAGGAATCCCCCTGGGCCACCTGAACCCATGAGCCAGTTCTACGCTGTCACATGGGTTACTATGAGTAAGAATCAACCTGACAGCACCCGTAACAAGATATCATTCGAGTCCTGTGGAGATGGTGCTAGTGTTTACCGATGCCAACATCTGTTTTTGCCTTTCGGCCCTGGGAAGGTGCTACCCTCCCTCTGCTACAAGCAACATGGCCTTCTTCCTGGGTGCTGTCTTCCTTGCAGCAGACTTTCCACTAGCCTGTGAAGATGGCCACCTTGTTCTGTTTCCCTTCCTTAACGAGATTCCCCACAGGCTCCTGTCCTTGGTCTGAGGAGCACCATCTGGACCTAGGGCTCAGTAAAGCCAGGCTCTTTCTCAGCTCGAGCTGTCAACTGCCTCACTTCACGAAGGGTAGACCTTCCCAGGGGAGTCTGTGAATGTGAAGGAATACATACTTAACATAGTCTGTGAGGGAGATGGGACGTGCATTTTGGATTTAGGATCATAGGCTATTAGAGCAGGAAGAGTTCGTAAAAATGTCACGTGGCTCAACTTCCTTATTTTAAGAAAAGGCAAACTAAGGCCTCAAAAAAGGTAAATGAATTGTCTGAGGTGGCACAGAAATTTGGGAGCTGGCCATGGCTCTAACCCCAAGTCTCTTGACCCCTCCTGAGTTCTTTTCACCATGTTATGCTATTACAAAGGTTTCTACTGTGATGTCAAATAAAAGTATGTGGAAGGGACAAGACTGGGCTGGTCTGCAGAATTCATTTGCTTACGTAACCCCTCATCTCAAGGTACTGAGCACGAGAGTGACAGTCATGAGCCTCATCATGAGTCCAGGACACACAGAACCCTACACAATACACTTAGTGAGGCCCAAGTGTTTAAGGGGTTCTGCTTTAATTACAAGTCCCTGGTTAACAGGAGCTAGTGGACTTCCAGAGACTAACCCCTAAGTGAAGTTCCTGGGTGAGGAACGATTGTATTTGAGTTCCTACCATACTTATATACCAGGGATTCATAAGAATCAAAGAGCTTGCGTTTTGTGGAAACTCTTGAAAAACCTGTGATGAAGGGGGACTATTAAATATTCTTATAAAGAAGTCCCCACACCACAGTCCAACAACTTTTTTTCAAACTGCAAGGCTTATCATATCTTTTCCCTATTGAAACATTTCATTGTTTCCAACACCTTTAAAGATGTTTAAATATCTGCAATATTGGCTAGAGAGTTCTCTCTGGTCCAACCCGGCCTTGGTCTCTCCAGCTTCTTGTACTACTGACCACCTGAGACTTCAACTTTACTGCCCTTCTTCTAACACCTCAACCCTCCCTGCTCCGGACCAGACACACACCGTGGCACCTTCCCTATTTACATCTGACTTCAGGAGAGTATCGGGTGGCAACGCCTCCACCCTGAAGGTTCTCCCAGCTCTGCATACCTGTCTTTCCTAGCGTTTGCCACGTGTCCCAATTACCTACACGTTTCTGAGTCGGTAGGATCTTTCTCCCCTTCTCCCACTCTATAAGAACTCCCAGCTCTATAAGAACACAGACCAAAGTCAGGTTTGGGGTTCCCCAGGAGGCAGGAGAGTGGCTAGTATAATCTACCCTCACACGCAGTTCAGGCACAGATGAGTAACACTTCTGATGAACACTGAATGATTTATTTAAGGAGTTTTCTGACTTTCTTCCCAGCATGGATGTACGCATTCTGATTCTTAAACATGCACGTTTCCCTTGGGGCTAGGTTTCCAAGAACTACAGAATGAAACAGTTACAGTACTCCTTACTGTCTCTTGGGGGATGGGGAGGAAGAATGTTCTCAATTTGAGATTGGAGGAGGGGAGGAGAAAAAAAAAAAACACCTTCCACTGAAAAGAAAACTATGAACTAGGATTCAGTTTCATGCCAACATCCTAAGAAACCATGTTGATAACAGGCTGAGTTAAAGGATAAGTTTTAAACTAAGGATTACAAACAACCTATGAAAAGTAGCCTCTGATTAGCAAAAACAACTCCAAGTAAACTTATTTAAGTCCTCCTGTTAAGTGTATTGATTAGCTAAAAAGATAAAACAGTTTTAATATTTGAATTTAAAAAAATATAAACAATTACTTTAAATTAGTTCAAAGCACTAGCCCATGCTTATGCACAGGGAGATAGCTCAGGGTGCAGAAGAGTGTGAAGGGATGGACACTGGGAGGAGGTAGCTATGGGGAGGAAGTGGGAGGGGAGCTGCTGCATTGTAAATTTTGGTCAATGACGTGAGACAAAGTGTATGTGAACTGCTGTGTGAAAGGTGAATTTGCTCTGTAGATCTTCACCCAAATCCTAATAAAAAAAAAAAAAGAAGAAGAAGAACAAAGTACTAGCCCAATACGACCCAACTAATTGATTCTCTTATGGTTAGACCAATAAGGAGCCCTGTGTACTCAACACTCAATTCACTCATATTCTCCTTACGAGAGTGAAATAAAGAAAAAATGCTACATGAACGTCCTACTTCCAACACATCTCCAGGTTCTTGTTTTTTATAGAGTTTTCTGGAGAATAATTATCCCAGGCTTTGAGATGATACATGAAAAATTAGGATCTTAAGAACCACATGAAGTGTGCAGCAAGCATGTGTCCACGTTTGAGGCTTAAAAGGAAGGCATTTCCCACAGAAATCAGAAGCAGACGTCCTTCACTCAGATTCAAACACGGTGCATAGGCTTCTCCTTTTCCAATTAGAAACCTGGCCACCCAGGCAGGATAACGCTTATCCGAAATGCTTGATGTCCACGTGGCAGAAGGTAGAGGTACGAAATTAGAAACTATTTTTAGCTATGGCAATTTTATTTGTTATAGTTCGGCTACATTATAAAGTTACTGCTTCAGGAGCAAATCGCTTTGTTAGATCCACTTTACAACTAACACAGGAAGAACAGAAACTGTAACACCACATGTAGAGGAGATGATCTAGAAACATGGAGCCTGGAAAATAAGGAAGGAACAATGACTTGGAATCCAGAGACCCTGGACACACACACACAATTTCACCTCTCTCATCTCAGGTTCCTCACTTATTAGGAGACAAGGATTTTTTGATTCGTCATTAAAATGTGATTCCTTGACCTTACTTAGAACGTAACTATGTTATTTAGAAGTCCCCACTCATCTCACTGCTTATAAACCTTCTGGTTGGGTACTGGCACTCAATACAGGTGTGAGTTACACAGTGAGGGCACAGCTACTCCCACTCATCCTTCTTGTTGTTGTTGTTATGTGCCGTCAAGTCCAACCCGACTCATAGCAACCCCTCCTCGGGTTTCCGAGGTGGTATCAATATGGAAGTAGATTGCCCAACCTTCCTTCTGAGGGGTGGCTGGTGGGTTTGAACTGCCAACCTTCTGGTTAGCAGTCAAGTAAGTGCCTTAGGCCCTACGCTGCTACCAGAGCTCCTCCCACTCATCCTACCCCTTTCTTTCTGCAATGCTGTAGGGCGCAGCACACGCACAGGTTTCCGGGAGGGTAGGCTTTTCTGCACGTGTCTTTCTGTACACCAGCATGTGTACAATCACAGCAAAGCTCAGGTTTGGTTCCTGGGCAACACCGTTAACAGAAAGAGAAGTCAGAACAGGAGGCTGCTCTGCGAGAGAGGTGGCACACAGAAGAAGCTTGCTTGAGACGTGTCAGGCTGAAAACGAAAGCTGGACACACGAGTAAAATGTCCAACAGGTGGAAACACAGTGCTGGGATTGGAAACGACTGAGTCCAGGGCAGGGAAGCAGCTGAAGAAGCAAGAAGATGAAGCCAGCAGCCCACGCAGCAGTGGCTGCGATGACCCCACAGCAGCAGTTTCAGATCTGACTAACCCAAGCACTTCTTCTGTGTTTGCTTCTGAAGGGTGAAGGCTACATTCCCCTTACTTTTTCCTCTCTGGGTTAGCCCTGCGTTGTCATGTCGTCCAACTCTTAACTTAGCCAAGTGGTTTTTTTGTTGTTGTTGCTGTTGCTGTGGTGATTTGCTGCCATCTCTGCCTGCTCATGTTCCAGGTGAGCTTCAAGTTGCCAAAAGCAGAACAAAGGTGGACATCAAGGGCGAAGCAATAGGCAGAAAAGGCGAAGAACTCGTGGGAGTGCGTAAGGAAGGCAGGTTGTTGTTGTTGTTGTTGTTATGTGCCGTCGAGTCAAACCTGACTCATAGCGACCCCTCCTTGGGTTTCCAAGGCAGTATCACTACAGAAGTAGGATTGTCCAACCTTCCTTCCGAGGCAGTTTTATTTTGTTAAATGAA